AAGAGACCAATTTTGTAATAGTCATAGCAACGGTACTTTGGAAGAAATTTCTCCATAGCTAACCCCTTCCCCACCCCGCATTACACCCACCCCCAGTCTTTGGAATCCCTACCCCCTTCCCCCTCCACCCCCCTCTCCCACTACCTTCTGATATCCCCCCCCCCCGCAAACCTCTCTTACCTCCTCCCTCCCTCCCCGTTGGCACATCCTCCTCCTCCTCCTCCTCCTCCTCCTCCTCCTCCTCCTCCTCCTCCTCCTGCTCCTCCTCCTCCTCCTCCTCCTCCTGCTCCTCCTCCTCCTCCTGCTTCTCCTCCTCCTCCTCCTCCTCCTCCTCCTCCTCCTCCTCCTCCTCCTCCTCTCTTCTTCTTCTTCCTCTCCTCCTCCTCCTCCATCTCCTCCTTCTCTCCTCCCTATTCCCTTTAAATTTCTGTTAGGCCTTTTTTCTTCCGCTTCAGTTCCTATTATTGTCCTATCTCTTCTATCGGAATTTCTAGCTCCCCTTCTCTCTCTTCAGCTCCTATCAGCATCCTCTCCCCCCCCCTCAGCTCCTATCAGCTCCGTCCCCCCCCTCCCCCTCCTTTCTCTCCCCCCCCCTTCTCTCCTTTTACTAATATCATCACTTATCAGGTCCTATTAGCCCACCCTTTATTGACTCCTATCATTTTTCCCCCTTCTTCACCTGCTCCTATTAACTCTCCCTCTCCCCTCCCCCTTCCCCCCCTCACCAGATCCTATTAACTCCTCCCCCCCCCTTACCAGCTCCTATCACCCCCTTCCCTTTTTCCTTCACCAACTCCTATTAACCCTCTCCTCTCCTCTCTCTTTCCCCCGTTCACCCTCCCTCCCCTCCTTCCCTCCCTCCCCTCCTTCCCTCCCTGCCTCCCTCCCTCCCTTCCTCCCTCCCTCAATCCCTCCCCTCCCTCCCTCCCTCCCTCCCCTCCCTTTCCTCCTTCCCCCTCCTTCACTATGAACCAACCTCCCCCTCTCCTCCCCTCCCTCCCCCTACCCCTCCTTCACTATGAACCAACCTCCCCCTCCGTCCCTTCCCCTCCCTCCTCCTCCCCTCCCCCCCCACTCCCTCCTCCTCCCTCCCCCTCCCCCTCTCCTTCCCCCCTCCCCTCCCCCCCCACGCCCTCACCATCAAGCCCCCATCCAGGCCCTCATCACCCTGCCTATGACTACGACCACGCCCATTGTGAGCTGTGACCCCGAGAGATAGTCAGTTGTCGTTGGCTTTTTTTTTAACTACTACGTTTTTTATTATTCTGTTCTCTTCTTTTATTTCTATTTTTTTCTATTATTCTGTTAATAATTCTGTTTTCTATTCTGCTTTTTATTATTCTGTTCTCTTTATTAAACGTATATTCTTATGTTTGTTTTCCCCCTTTTCTTGTTTGTTTTGTTTTGTTTTGTTTTTTTCTGTACCCTTTACGTTTCGTGGATATCTTTTTCCACTTTCTGCCTTCCTCCTCTTCATTTTTTTCTTCTCTTCCTCATTTTTCCATGCTTTTCCTGCATCCTTCATTTATCGTCTTCCTTCTTCCTTTTCCTCTTTTTATCTTCTTCCTCCTTTCCAACTACACATTTTCCTCCATTCTTTGTTCTCCCCTTCTTCATTCCCTTTCCTCTTCCATCCACGTCTATCTTCCTCTTAATCCTCTACCTCCTCCTCCTCCTCCTTCTTCTCCTTCTCCTCCTTCTCTACCACTACCTCCTCCCTCTCTTCCTCCTCCTCCTCCTCCTCCTCCTCCTCCTCCTCCTCCTCCTCCTCTCTTTCTCCTTCTCCTCCTCCTCCTCCCTCTCCTCCTCCTCCTCCCCCTCCTCCTCCTCCTCCTCCTCCTCCTCCTCCTCCTCCCCCTCCTCCTCCTCCTCCCCCTCCTCCTCCTCCTCCTCCTCCTTCTCCATCACCTCCTCCTCCTTCTTTCTGGCGTGCCAATAGCCCTCCTCCCTCCCTCCCTCCCTCTCCCCCCTCGTCCCCCTTCGCCCCCTTGCCCCCTTGCCCCCCCCCTCGCCCCCCTCCGGCTATGCAAGAAGCAGGAATGCCCCAATATCTGCAACAATATTTCTGTATCAACAATGCACGAGGCAACCGTATCAACTTGCAGGCCTGGAATTATTGGCGGGTTTTTGCTCTTTTTTTTATAATATTTCTTTCTTCTCCCATTCCTCTATCCCGGTCTTTCGTTCTTTGTCTATTTCTTTGTTTCTTTCGCTTCTTCTCTGTTCTCGTTTCTTTTTTCATCCAGGAATTTTCGTTTCGTTTCGTTTATCTAAAAGTCTCTCTGCCGCCTCTCCTCTCTCTCTCTCTCTTGCTATCTTCTTTTTTTTCCTTTCAATCTATATCTATTCCATTTCCCGCCTCCTCTATCTCTGATCCTTCCCTCTCTCCCTCCTCTATCTACTTCCCTTCATTCAACCCCTCCCTCCCTCCCTCCCTCCTCCAATCCTTCCTTCCCTCCTTCCCTCCCTCCAATCCTTCCTTCCTTCCTTCCCTCCCTCCACCCTCTATTTCCCTTCATTCCA